CACGGAAAGAATGGGTACGATGCCCAACAGCAGTCCCTGTTCATTCTGAACAGGGCTCGCTGTCCACGCCGCCGCGGCCCGTGTCCATTCGAGACGGGAGGCCGCCTGCCCAACAGCGGCCGCTGTTGGTATGGGACAACATTTGTGTTGGGCATAGTAACCATTTTTTCGGTACCCATGTCGGGCGTCCAAAGTGGGGGGTAGGGGTACGGTAGGTTCATGCGGTGTTGGCGCGCCGGCGACGCCGGCGACGGCGTGTAAGGTTGAATCTTGCGACGTGGAAGCACTGAGGGACGCGGTAACGTCACTGGACCCGACAGAATTCAACCTTGAACGATCGGGGCCGCGATCGATTCAAGGTTGAACGATCGGCGCGGTGTCAAGAACCTTTGCGCGCGCCGACGCCGCGCGAACCTGCCGTAGGGTTCGCATGTGACCCCCTACTGTGTCCAGGCGTTCTCGCCCGAATCCCTCCGCGGCCGGAGGCAGGGCGAGGGCCCCAGGGTCCTCGCCTTGGTGCCTGCTCCAGGAGGACTCGGGAATGGGGGAGGATTCTGCAAAGGAAAAGGGAGGAGTTGGGGACGATTTTGGAATGGGGGAGGACTCTACAAAGGAAAAGGGAGGAGTTGGGGACGATTTTGGAATTGGGGAGGATTCTACAAAGGAAAAGGGGGGAGCTGGGGAGGATTTGGGAATTGGGGAGAATTCTACTCTTACGGTTTGCAGCTTGCGGTCGGACCCCAGATCGCGAACGATGCGCTCCGAGGCCTCGCGCCCGCCTGCGCAGGCCCATCCCTGGGCCCCAGATTTTGCCAGACCCGAGCGCTCGCTCGTTCTCTCTCTCTCTCTCTCGCGTGCCCTCTGCTCTGCCCCTTCCCCTCCCCCCCTCCTTCCTCCTTTCTCCTTCCTCCTTCCTCCTTCCTCCTCCTCCTCCTCCTCCTCCTCTTCCTCCCTCCTCCTCCCTCCTCCTCCTCCTCCTCCTCCTCCTCCTCCTCCTCCTCCTCCTCCTCCTCCTCCTCCTCCTCCTCCTCCTCCTCCTCCTCCTCCTCCTCCTCCTCCTCCTCCTCCTCCTCCTCCTCCTCCTCCTCCTCCCCCCCCTCACCTCCAGCGTGCACGCTCCTGGATGCTCACGCCCTGCGGTCAAACTTCGGCGCAGGAAGAGTACCCCGTGAACTGCTTCCAGGCGGCGCACCCGCCAGCCAGCCAGTCCTCCCTGCATTTTGCTCTGGTCGCGGAGCATGGTAGCATGGGAGGGAGCAACAGAGCAAGTCCAGAAGTGCCCTGCTTCGGAGGTTTATTGGAACCCCCATCCTGCCAAGTCGATTAGTGCTTTGATTTTGCGCGCGCGTGGCACCGCCATGGATTTGACTTCCCCCCGCCCCCCCCACCCGTCCAGTGCGACCCTGCCTCCTCCACTGATGCGGCGATGTATGTCAGTAGGGACAGAAACACCGACACAATGAATCGTCGACTCGCAAGAAGATATGGGAACATTTGGGAAGTGGTCTATTCATTGGTGTGTCCCTGGGCCCCCGCAGTATGGGGGGTCGATCCCATCGACCCGAGTCCCGGAAGTGCTTCGACGGATCTCAGATTGTGGGCGGCTCCAGGCCGTCGAAGGGCTGCCACGATGTCTTCGTGACGTGGGCCCGCACGGGGCGACGAACTCTATACACGTCCACTGCCCCCCTGGCCAGGCCCATCCTGAACCCAGGAGCTGTGTATACGCCCTCCCTGCACGCCCTCCCGGCCGAGCCGGGAGGGCGCGGCGTGCACACCGCTGCTGGGTTCAAGACGGGCCTCGAGCAGTGGCTATGTACAGATTTCGTCCCCCAGACCACTCGACCTCATCCTGGTGCCTGCTGCTTCTTCACCCCTGGAAGGTTCTTGACGGCCCGGATGGCCCGACAGATCTCGAGAGGCCACGGGCTTGGGAGAATCGGCAGTCATGATTTTGTTCGCGACGCCGCGGGATTGTGGCAGACCTCGACGTTGACGACAGTCAACCCGCATAGCAAGGATGAGCCACCTTCCCAAGGTTACCCTTGCATCCTTCCCCTTTGGCCCATCCTTGGCTGCTTTCGCTGGCCGCGCCCCGCTCGCAAAGTGCGGGCATCGCCTTCCAAGGCCCTTGCATCCTTATCGTGCGTCCTTGTTGCGAAGACCTTACGGCCGGTGCCGCCGACCCTGAAGGGGAACGACGACAACGGCGGCGGCGGCGACGACGACGACGACGCTGATGTGGTTCAGAGTCCTCATGGATGCTTCTTGGGGTCTCTTCGAAGCGCTCGCGGGGGCCTCCGGGGAACAGTCTAGGGGGCCTTTTGGGAGCCTCTTTGGGGCCTCTTGGGAGTGGGAGCCTCTTAGGGGCCTCTCGTGGCTTCTGGGGGCCTTCTGGGGGGCATCTTGGGAGCCTCCTGGGGGCCTCTTGGGCGCCTCTGGGTTCCTCTCCCGAGAGGCGTTCCGGCGGGGAGATTTCGGAGCGCATGTGGCCGTGGTGCAGCGTGCACCCGTCTTGGCGGGTTGAAGCAGATGCACGGGCGGAGCACGTGCTATTCAAACGGTGCGGCTTTGGCGTCGGCGCCGCGCACGATGCCTGCACAGTTCGCGGATTGGGGGGTGCTCGTTCTCGGCAGGCGATTCTGCAATCTGTGCAGAGGTTCACGTGAGGAGGGCGATTCCTGTTCAGACTAGCGTTTGATTTGACGTCTCGACAGGTGACAGAGTGTCTCGCTCATGTTTGCGGCGTTTCACGGTCAGTGGCCTCTCCTGATGTGGTCTAGTGCCGTCTGGGCGCGTGCGGCTGTCTCCGATATGGTCGGGCGCAGTGTCGTGTGTGCCGCGCCTGTCTTCTGTTGATCCTCTTTGATGCGCGACCTGTTTCCATTTGTTTGTGGTTGTCTGGGTCGCGCAAAGTTGGCACTTTGGTCGATCCCAGCAACAGTCAGGAGGGGAAAATAGACACATACACAAACAAACGTCGCTTCCCAGAAGCATGTGGGAACATATGGGAAGTGAGCATCCAGAACACACTGGACAAATGATTTGGGGGATCCCAGCTATTCATTTGTGTGTCCCTGGGGCCCCTTCAGACAGTTCCAGTCAGGATCCGTCCGCATCGAATCGGGGCACCACGTCGCAAGCCGGAGCCGCGCACGCGCGCGCTGCCAGGGCGCCGCGAGGCGGGGATAGCCCCGCACCAGCCTGCAACATTCGGAGGACGACGACGAGGATCTGCACGGTCGAACCCCCCCTCTCGCTTCCCCCTCCGCCCCTCCCCCTCCCCCTTCCACCTTTTCCCTCCTCCTCCTTCTCCTCCTCCTCCTCCTCCTCCTCCTCCTCCTCCTCCTCCTCCTCCTCCTCCTCCCCTTCCAAGTTTCGCAATAAAAGGGGTGCAGACCCCCCCCAGCCCAGCCACGAAAGGGCGGTCTCTTGCCCAGACCCCGCTGGAGCCCTCCAAGGCAGCTCCAATCAGACCCCCCCCCAAGACAGACCACCCTCCTTGTCTGGTGAAATCCTGAGTGCGGAAAGAATGGGTGCGAAGACCGACAGCAGTGTCATTCCTCAGTCGCGCTCTCGCGTGGGACCTCTTCACACTTGATACAGGAATCGCGCTCTCGCGTGGGACTTCCTCGCAATTTATTCAGACGCCGCGCCCTCGACACTCAGGAAGCACGCTCTCGCTGTGGATCTCTTCGCGATTCACTGGGGGATCGCACTCTCGTTCGAGCTTTCCTCGCGATTCATGCAGGACGCACGGTTCAGCCACCCGCCTGCCCCCTGTCCCTTCTTTCCAAACGTCTTCTCTTCCCCTGCCTTAGGGGCTGCACGCTACACGTTGCAGGTGAACAAGATGTACCCCAATGGGGGTACGACCGAAGACGAAGAGAGCGGGTATCGAGGGCTTGGTATACGTGATGAATGGCACGCGAGCAGTTCAGAGTGATCAGTCTTACAACGATTGTTGTTGTTGTTGCTCTTACTGTTGCGGTTGCTGTTGCTGTTGTGATTGTTGTGGTTGTTGTTGTCGTGATTGTGGTTGTTGTTGTTGTCGTCGTTTGTTGTTGTTGTTGTTGTTGTTGTTGTTGTTGTTGTTGTTGTTGTTGTTGTTTTTGTTATCGTTCTCGTTGTCGTCGTCGTCGTCCTCCATGTTGTTGTTGTTGTTGTTGTCGTCGTTGTCGTTGTCGTTGTCGTCGTCGTCGTCGTCGTCGTCGTCGTCGTCCTCGATGTTGTTGTTGTTGTTGTTGTTGTTGTTGTTGTTGTTGTTGTTGTTGTTGTTGTTGTTGTTGTTGTTGTTGTTGTTGTTGTTGTTGTTGTTGTTGTTTTGTTGTTGTTGTTGTTGTTGTTGTTGTTGTTGTTGTTGTTGTTGTTGTTGACCTCTCAAGGTTGGATAATGATTATTGTTGATCCCCCTCCAGGGACCATTGTGTTTTGTCAATTGAAGTGCTTACTCTGGGCTCGAACCCTGTTTTGATTAGTGAAAGTCACGGGGCTCAATCTGTGTTGATGGCCCCCGGGTTACAACGACAACGGCTCCCGCCTGAGACTTCCTCACAATTTGCCAGGGCCCCCGCTCCCGCTTGAGACTTCCTCGCATTTACTCAGGAATCGCGCTCTCCCTTGGGACTTTCCTTACAATTTATTAAGGCATCGTTCTCTCGGCGCTCAGGAGTCGCGCTCTCGCTGGAGACTTGCTTGCACTTTTCGCAAGAATCACGCTTTTGCGTTGGAAAACCTTGCAATTTACTCAAGCGCCGCGCTCCCGACATTCAGGCACCCAGGAGTCGCGCTCACGCTTAGGACTCCCTCACAGCTTCCTTAGGAATCGGGATCTCGCTGCCCTTCGTGGCCCCGTTGCAGCCCTTCGTGGCCCCCTCGCTGCCCTTCGTGGCCTCGTTGCAGCCTTTCGTGGTCTCCTCGCTGTCCTTCGTGGCCCCGTTGCAGCCCTTCGTGACCCCCTCGCTGCCCTTGGTGGCCCCATTGCAGCCCTTCGTGGCCCTCTCGCTGACCTTCGTGGCCCCGTTGCAGTCCTTCGTGGCCCCCTTGGTGCCCTTCGTAGCCCCGTTGCAGCCATTCGTGGCCGCCTCGCTGCCCTTGGTGGCCCCGTTGCAGCCCTTCGTGGCCCCCTTGCTGCCCTTCGTGGCCCTGTTGCAGCCCTTCGTGGCCCCCTCGCTGCCCTTCGTGGCCCCGTTGCAGCCCTTCCTGGCCCCCTCGCTGCCGTTCGTGGCCCCATATATGTATGCCCTTCGTGGCCCTCTTTCGTTCGCGCCCGTCGTGTCCCCATATGCATGCGCTTCTTGGCCCCGCCGTCGCCGTTCGTGGCTCTCTCGCTGCCCTTCGTGGCCCCGTTGCTGCCCTCAGTGGCCCCGTCCTTGCCTTCTGCGGCCCAATATACAGATGCCTTCGTGGCCCTCTTTCGTTCGCGCCCGTCGTGTCCCCATATGCATGCTTTTGCCCCGCTGTCGCCCTTTGTGGCCCCCTCTCTGCCCTGAATGGCCCCGTTGCTCCCTCAGTGGCCCCGTCGTTGCCCTCTGTGGCCCCGCATTATTTACCCTTCGTGGCCCCCGCTCGTTCACGCCCTACGTGGCCCCATACGCATGCCCTTCGTGATCCCCTCGCTGCCGTTCGTGGCCACCTTGCTGCCCTTCGAGGCCCCATCACTGCCCTTCGTGGCTCCACTGGCGCTCTCGCTTTCGCTCTCGCTTTCGCTCGTCGTCGTCGTCGTCGTCGTCGTCGTCGTCGTCGTCGGGGTCGGTCCCTTGTCCGTCCCTCTTGGGGTCGGGTTGCCGCCGGTCAGCGCTGCCGCTGGCCAGGCCGACGGTCCGCGGCCGCCCCGCCGCTTGCCAGGGCGGGACCTGCAGGGAAGAAAGATAACCTCCCAAAGGGGGTATGATCGAAGACGAAGAGGGCGGGTATCGAGTCGAGGGTGTGGGTAATACACGTTGAATGCCACTCGGGCAGATACGAGCGAACTTTTGCTGTTGCTGTTGCTGTTGCTGTTGCTGTTGTTGTTGTTGTTGTTGTTGTTGTTGTTGAACATTATTTATTCTAAAGAATAATTATTGTTGGGACCCCTGGTGCGCGACCCCCTCGCCGCGCCTAGGCCGCAGCCACATTTTCATCATTTTCGTGAGGAAGCCTCAGGTAAAACGATGTCATCCAGATCCGGTTGTTTTGTTGTAA